TTAAAGATAGTATTTTATGATCTTCAAAACAATGAATATTGGCTCTAATAGGCTTCTAAACTCATCAAATATTCACAGAATATTTAATAGCAGCATAAAAATACAACATTCCAGCCTTCTGAAATAGATAACATATCTTGTGACATTCCAAGAGTTAATATGGTACAATCAAAGTCATGTTTCTACCCACAACATCAAATTTTCCCACCTGGGTACTGACTGGCTAAGAAATTCTGGAAGTAAAACACCATACCAATTTAACTCTACAAAACCCGCAAATGACATTCCTTCTCCTCTACCTCTGCCATCTTCCCCTGGTAATGCACACTTGGTGAATTGGAAAATGTCCATGCATTTTTTTTCTTTTTTACTCCTCTTTTTCACTAAGCATTCACACCAGTAGGTGGTAGGACTGCCTACAGCTGAAGCTCCTTGAAACTTTACAAAGCCTTTTATCATTTATTATTATATCTATACAGCTGCACAATTAAACACTTCAAGAAGGAGAAAAATATTTCCACACACACATATATATATGCATACTTGTTTCAGTTTGCAAATACACACTGACTCATAAATGAGGATTATCATATCTACAAAATATATCCCAAGGAAAAATAAACTTATATGCATATATATGCATACTTGTTTCAGTTGCATGTACACACTGGCTCAAATTGGATTATAATATCTACAAAATATATCCCATCTATAAGACTAAGGAAAAAACAGAAATATTAGTTGAGAGCGAAAAAAAAACTGACTCACATTTTATTCCCACTGATATGCACGTTATTGCTATGTTCTTTTCTATTTTTTTTTTTCTTTTCTAAGTTGCACCCAATACACATCTAATGATGTGTATCACTTAAAGCAATAAGACTTATTACAACCTTTGTTACAACATTTTTGTTTCAATTATACAAGTAATATACAGCGTAACACTTCATAAGTACATTTTATAACATATTAAGATTTATTTTAAATGCTTAACACATTAATAATCATGGTTACTAAATGAATGTTTATAATTTTCAATATTTGTTTTTCACCCTCCCATGATACTGTGTATATATATATAATCAAATATTTACCTTATCAAAAACGTGTATGTTATTTACATTTACTCAACGAGAAAAAATTGATATGGTCATTAGCTACAGAGAGACCTATTTCATCTCACGTAACAACTACCACAATAGCATGAACATTCCCGGTGCAAAAACCTGTCCGTTTACCAAAAGTATTTTTTCACAAGTTTTGACATTAATTAAAACCCTCTAAAATATATTTAGTAGTTCATATTCTGGCAGCTTAGGAAAAAAAATAATAAAGTACTCTGTGATGTCAACTCAATCTTAAACCTTGTTTATAGGGAAAGGCTTGAAAGCAGCGAAAAAAGTATATATATGTTAAAAAGAAAATCCAAAGTAACATAACCCTCTGTATAAAACTTCAATCTAACTTTAAGGTAAAGTTCAAATCATTACATATAGTTTTTGGCTTCATGTTTACTTATATGTGCATCACTTCTGAGCTGGCAATGTGAAGCTTTTCTAATGAGTTTTAGATCAGTAATAATAAAAAGATGGTAATAACAGTAAACTTAAAACTGACAAATTGTCAAGAGAACAGACAATACAAGATGTTTGACAGACAGTGATTTTGTCATTTGTCTATGGACATTGATAAGACTGGTGATAAGGAGCTTTCATTTGTAAATGTTAAACCCTATCTTAATACTCTTTGTATCTAAATATTTGAGCATCTTATATGCAGGTTTGCACAGATGTTTTTTTTTTGTTCTAAGAAGCATGAAGAAATTCTACATGTTCATTTTGATCATAATCTTGTTTTCTGTCATCTTTTTCATCTTAAATGTACTTTTTAAATATCTAAACTGATGCTGTTACTGCATTTCACTTTCTGCTACCTGTTACAATAAGTTATTTTCCTCTCAGATATAATAAGGAAATAAAATATACCAACTTCGTGTTTAGTTCGGTTATGAGCGCAAAATAATTTAACATGGTTCACATTTCCCTTTATGTCGTAGGTAAAAGTGGAGAAAAAAGATGAAAAAATATATTATATATAATACCTAAAAAAATATATATACATATATATATATAATTACATCCATTAGAAAAAAAAGAAAGAAAAAAGTATCTTAAAAAAAAATAATAATAATAAATAAAAAATAAAACAATAATAACATATTAAAGAATTTAAAAAACATTTATCACAAGAAAGAAAAATAAAATAATAAAAAACAAAAAAAATTATGAAAAGAAACAAAAACAGTTCTTCAGCACCATTTCCTAATTAAGAATTGCTCAAATGAAGAAGAAGAAGAAGAAGAAGAAGAAAGAAAGAAAAAAAGAAAAAATTGAATATGAAGTTTGGAAAAAATAGATAGCCTTCTTTCCCGAAGAAATATTTAAAAACTAATATCGGTTCATTAATCTCAGCGAATCCCTAAGCAACAACAGTATCATTACTTGAAAACAATGTCAGAGAATGGAGACTACATTTACAAATATAAAATATAATAATAATAATAATAATAATAATAATAATAATAATAACAATAATAATAATAACAATAATAATAATTAAAACAATAATAACATATTAACAATAATAATAATAATATTAATAATAGCAATACTAATAATAATAATAATAATAATAATAATAACAATAATACTAACAATAATAATAATAATAATAATAACTGAACGAAAATAAATTAACAATTATAAAAAATGAGTAAAAATGAATGAATAAGTAGACAATTTTCAGCTTGCAATTACCATACTATACAGAATGCCGTTCTTGAGGTGATCAACAACATTTCCTGTTCAGTTTATGCTTGCTAATTGTAAACAATGTAGAGGGTCTTCTACTGTACAAAAGAAGTACCTATTTTTTTCGTATCAAGACTATTTATTATTGTAAACAGTTTTTTTATTGATTTTTCTTATATTCAACTGTTAACCATTCATTCTTATCACATTTCTTTTGTTTTTCATTCAAATGTACGCACTCTGAGTGTGCTATAGTGAAATCTACAGCATGGGAATCTTAATATATCAAAATGGACTTCATTTCAAAATTCTTTTCAATATGGTAACTGAAGAAACACAGGATCGTATACTGTCATATGAAAATTACAAAGATATATATTCCCACAAATTTTATTACTGCCAAATCCGATGGATCCTTTTTTTGGGAACAAAATTTTGCATGCATTTATGACTTTAAATTTGGATTTTAGTATATCTCTGGGATGTACATCTATAGTGGGATCTAATGTTCCCTGCATCACACATGTTAATTAATGTAGGGTATAACCTCTTTTCACATTAATTCCATATACCTTCAATAATAATTTAATTCAACTCTTCCCCCGCTAAAATCCCTTCAACATATGTGAATAAGAGCAGAAAACATGTTAAGTAACAAATGAGCTTTTACAAATGCTTCCATATTCAAGATGTATTGCCATTATCAACCAAGGTACAGAATCATAGAAGTTTTAGTCGTATTTCAGCTGAAATAAATAAGTTTTAATATGCACTGAATACAAACACTTTCACATTACTATACTTCCATAAAAAGAAATGAAGTTTAGAATAAAATCATCCGTAAAATGATCACATCTTTTTTTATACCCAGCATCATACAAACAAGCATGTATAAATACCACTTCTCTCCTTCGTGACACATCTCAGGTTCTCAGTGCTTTGGGAATAAAATATATATATATATTAATATGTACATAACTACACAGTAGTTTGCTAGTGAAGCTGACATACACAAAGGATACATAAGAAAAAATATGACACCTGTAGAACATTATGGTCATATATGGTTCTTACTCCATGGCAAAAATAATATACAGGACTGCTTTCTAATCCACTTGGCAGATTTTCTATAATGCATTAGCCCTCCAAGAAAACCAGCACAAAATACCTCAATTTGCCAAGGTTTCGTATGCTCAACCATATCTGGCCATAAGGGACTGTCTTAGACAGCCATACAGGCAGGAAAAAATAAGAAAAAAATATTCTTACTTTTTTCACACTTTGAAAAAAGGTGATAATAGATAACACCATCTCAAGCACAGACAGGGTACAGTAGGGGGAAGGGAGGAGACTAAAGGTGTGAACAGCATGGCAAGAGGCCCAGAAGAAAGGTATGACTATGGTTTATATACAAACACATCAAACACTCCTCAGCCGACAGACTACAGCACTTGAGATGCTGTTCTTGATATGATTCTGTACCTTATCTGATCTATCATTGTAGCATAAAAAAAAGAAAGGGAGAAAAAAGTACATAATCTGAAACCTATGACAAATGGGAAAAAAGTACCTTAGATTAACTCTAAGATATGCTGACTGGACATGACCAGTTTTGAAAAAAAGAAGAAAAAAAAAAAGAGAAAAAGAAAATAAATAATGACAATTTTATCAATACAAGAATTCCAGAATTTGTATCACTGCACAAAAATTTAAAACAAATCCACTGGTTTAAAGAATCAACTCTAGACAGATCTGAAAACACTATACTGTTACATGAACGTTTTTGGCTTGCAAATTTCCATCTCAAAAAATTCAGTAACTAAAATGAGAGAAAGCTTAATTGGCTGGTAATATCACATGCAGCACTCATTGATAAAAATAATAGTATTATAGGAACATATTCATATCAATTACATAAACACCAATATCTACTAAATTACTAGAAAAAAATCCATAGTTTCCCCCAACCCCTACTCATCAACAGCAAATAGATAAAAAACTTTCCTCGTATATAGAAAATTTCCCTTCAGCCGTACCTATAACATTCCACAGATCAAGAATCAATTTGATTAATACAGTAGTGAAAAATGCAGTAAACACCTATATGGAAATCACAGATATAGAACGAATTTTTTTTTTCTTTTTTCCTTTTTTACCGATCACTTCAACATGGCGATGATTCTTGGACAC